TCTGTGAAGTCCATTTGGTCCAGTGTGTCATTTAAAGTCTTTATTTCCTTGTTGATCTTTTGCTTAGATGATCTGTCCATTTCAGTGAGGAGGATATTAAAGTCCCCCACTATTATTGTATTGTTGTCGATGTGTTTCTTTGCTTTTGTTATTAATTGCCTTATATAATTGGCTGCTCCCATGTTAGGGGCATAGATATTACAATTGTTAGATCTTCTTGTTGGATAGACCCTTTAAGTATGATATAGTGCCCTTCCTCATCTCTTATTACAGTCTTTGGTTTAAAATCTAATTTGTCTGATATAAGGAATGCCACCCCAGCTTTCTTTTGGTGTCCATTAGCATGGTAAATGGTTTTCCACCCCCTCACTTTCAATCTCCGGGTGTCTTTGGGTCTAAAATGAGTCTCTTGCAGACAGCATATCGATGGGTCTTGTTTTTTTATCCAATCTGATACCCTGTGTCTTTTGATTGGGGCATTTAGCCCATTTACATTCAGGGTAACTATTGAAAGATAGGAATTTAGTGCCATTGTATTGCCTGTAAGGTGACTGTTACCGTATATTGTCTGTGTTCCTTTCTGGTCTATGTTACTTTTAGGCTCTCTCTTTGCTTAGAGGACCCCTTTCAAGATTTCTTGTAGGGCTGGTTTCGTGTTTGCAAATTCCTTTAGTTTTTGTTTGTCCTGGAAGCTTTTTATCTCTCCTTCAATTTTCAATGACAGCCTAGTTGGATATAGTATTCTTGGCTGCATATTTTTCTCATTTAGTGCTCTGAATATATCCTGCCAGTCCTTTCTGGCCTGTCAGGTCTCTGTGGATAGGTCTGTTGCCAATCTAATGTTTCTACCATTGTAAGTTACATATCTCTTCTCCCGAGCTGCTTTCAGGATTTTCTCTTTGTCTATGAGGCTTCTAAGTTTTACTATTAGATGTCGGGGTGTTGACCTATTTTTATTGATTTTGAGAGGGGTTCTCTCTCTGTGCTTCCTGGATTTTCATGCCTGTTTCCTTCCCCAAATTAGGGAAGTTCTCTGCTATAATTTGCTCCATTATACCTTTCTGTTAGAAGAAACTATCTCAAAATTTTAAAGAGAGAACAACTTATATATATATGCCAAAAATAAGGGTAACTACTATGAAGGGATAGAATATGACTCTAAAAATGAAAAATAAAAATGTTTTTTAAAAAAGCAATTGATAAGATGTTGGTTGAAAAACGGAAAAAGGAAAATTAAAAAAAAATAAAAAAAATTAACTTTGAAAGAGTAAAGAATCATGGTAAAAAAGCCGTGAATTCTATGTGCAGTATTCCCCTAGCGCTGGAGTTCTGCCGTTCTCATTGATCGGTAAACTTGGTCTTGGCTGGCTGTTCTCACTGATCTTCTGGGGAGGGGCCTGTTGCCGTGGTTTCCAAATGTCTCTGCCGGAGGCGGAAGTGCCCCGCCCTTGCCCCCTCCCGGCTACGTCATCTGCTCGGGTTTGTGTCCGGGTCTTTTGTTCCCTGCGAGCTTTCCGTACAGCTTTGGAGGCGGAGAGTGAAAATGGCGGCCTCCCAATCTCCGCCCCGGAGGAGCCGAGAACTCGGGGCCCCACTCCTCAGTGCGCCCCAGAGAAAAGCTGTCAGTCACTCCCGTCTCCCCGGTCTCCGGCCGCACTCCGTGCTCGCCCGGCCTGTGACCGCGCGTTTCTATCTCCGGCACCCGACCCCGGGTGGAGTCTCCAAACCCAGCAGATCCCTGCGGTGCCCTCCCGCGCGGCTCCTCCCGGGGGAGGAAGGTGAGTCTCCCCGGATCTGCCGCTTGTGGGGTCCCTGCTGGAGGAGCAGGGGCCCGACGGTGCCGCGGATCCCGGTTTATGGCGACCCCGAGCTGAGAGCCCGCGCCTGGGCTCCGCCTCTGCAGCCGGCTTCCCTGCTCCGATACCTGGGAGCTCTGCCGCACTCAGGTACCCCCAGTCTTTCTGTGACCCCAAGGGTCCTGAGACCACACTGTCCCGGAGGGTTCCACCCCCCACTTAGCCACCTGAGTGACATCCCTCAGCGGAGCAGACTTTCAGAAGTTCCGATTTTGTGCTCCGCGGCTCTATCACTTGCCAGAAGCGGCCGACGGAGGCCCCTCCCCCGCCGTCTATCCTCCCGAATATCGCCTCGGATTCACCTCCGCACGTCCTACCTTCCAGAAAGTGGTCGCTTTTCTGATGAGAGAGTTGTTGCTCTTCTTTTCTTCGATCTCCTGTTGAGTTCGTAGGTGGTCAGAATGGTTTGATCCCTATCCAGCTGAATTCCTGAGAGGAGACGAAATCCAGGTCTCCTACTCCTCCGCCATCTTGCTCCGCCCCCCTTCTTCTGTCATAATCTTGACACTGTGGATGAATACTAACCATTTGTTTCATAGAATGTCCCTCAGCTGGGCTTATTTAGTGTTTTCTCATGATGAGATTACGGCTCTGCAACTCTGGCAAGAATACCAGAGAAGGGAATGTGCCCTTCCCAGTGTTTCATATTAGGGGGTATGTGACGTCACGGAGTTTTTCATCAAGGGCGTGGCATGATACAACTTACAATTTGGAAGGATGACTCTGGCAGCTGGGTGCAGAATGAGTTGGAGTGGAGGGAGCTTGTGGTCAAGGCCCTGGTTAAGAGATGATGGGTGAAGGTAGCCTGAACAAAGGCTGTGGCTATAGGGATGGGGATGAACGTCTGAAGATGGGATTTCTGAAGTGAAGCTAATAGGATTTGGGAGCTGTTTCCATAAGTGAAGTGAGAAGAGGAACTGAGGATAATTACTAGGATATCAGGATAACAGGTCGATGGTTGATGCCCCTCTCAGTTGGTGGCCAAAGTCTTTGTGATTCAGATTTTTTTTTTTTTTAGATTTTATTTATTTATTTGAGAGACAGAATGAGAGAGGGAGAGAAAGAAGGGTCAGAGGGAGAAGCAGACTCTCCGCTGAGCGGGGAGTCCGATGCGGGACTCCATCCCAGGACTCCAGGATCATTACCCAAGCCGAAGGCAGTCGCTCAACCCACTGAGCCACCCAGGTGCCCCTGTAATTCAGATTTCTTAAGATTTAAAAAATAATAATTTGCTGGCATGTGGCTGCTATAAGAGGCTGTTTGAACATCTGTGGAAAAAAGATACAGAAAGAAGGAGGAGATGCTCAGCCACGCTTTTACTCTTGTTTTCAAGTTTCAGGTTTGGAAATTCAGCATCTCTGTTGTGTATGTTTGAGCAAGACAGAAGTGTCAGCATCTCGTCACGACTCTCATTTTCTCCAGGTAAAACAGAATTTTCATATGTACTTGACAAATGTTTGTGGAACACTGCATGAAAGAGTCAGTGCTTCCGAGTCAGGGTCAAAGGAGGGTTTACAACAGAATGTCATGGGAGCCGTTGCAAATTTTCCCATGGCCAAGGAGTGTTTCATATAAACTGGCTTTGTTCTGAAGTCAAAAGAGTGAAGCCAAGAGGGAAATTCAAGAGGAAAGTAGTGAAGATGAATCTTTCTTGCTCATTTCTATGTTAGAGATAGAGGGGAGAAGAAAACCAGATTTTCCTAAAGATGGGGATGTGCCCCTGAGTTTCCAACGGCCTAAAAGCTAGTCCTAACTCTTACAGTGCATTGTAGAGGAAAGAATGCATTTTAGCTGATACTTCCCAATAAAACAGAAGTCTTTAACTGCACATCAAATTCATCTATAGAGCTTTAAAAAAATACAGATGCCCAGGACTCATCCCAAGTGATTCAGATCTATTATTCAAAATGCCTTTGGTTGGAAGTGGCAGAAATGCAACACAAATCAGCCTCACCTGACGATTTGGAGTGGGTTGTATATTTGATCTATGCTGCATAACAAATCACCCACTTACCCCAAATGTAGCAGCTTAAAACACCGTGACCTTGTACAGTTACAGCGGATGGGGATTTTAGGAGTGGCTTAGAGTCCCTCACCAAGTTGAAATCAAGGTGTCGGTCAAGCTTTAGTCACATAAAGGCTTGACTGGTGTTGGAAGACCCGTTTCCAGGGTGGCTCAGTTACATGGCTGCCAAGCTGGTGCTGGCTATTGGCAGGCGGTCCTACTCTTTGCCACATGGGCTTTTGCACAGGGCTGCTTGAATATTCTCACCATATGTTGGCTGGTTTTCCCTAGATCAAGTAATCTAAGAGAGCAAGGCAGAAACAGCTTGATCCAATATAATGGCTGGGATTAAGGTTTCTTTGAGGGGGAGAAGGGGCATGGTATTCATAGGTCAGATCATCTGTTGTTACAAAGGCTGAAGACCCTTATATAGAGTTTCAGGCCCAGAGCAAACATACCATATGTTCCATTCATTTTTTATAGGGTGAAGGGATTAAAATGTGTATCGAATGAGGTCTTGAAAGGGAAAGAATAATAATTAAAAAAAACAAAAACACAAGGGTTATGTGTGACTTGCCTCTAAGCCTGGGTTTTCATCTGTCATAATAACATTTTAACATTTGCAGAGCCCTTTAGATTCTATCACACAATTTTCTAACACCTTACTTGATCTTAAGAACAATCTTAGGTTTGTAGGATGGAGTCAAGAGGGTTGGGACTGAAAGATGGAGCTAATAATAGTGAACACCCACCAACTGCCAGGCATTTGACTGGGTGCTTTATATTCATTAACCCTTTTCACCAAATACCACAAGGTCAGTATTAAGAATTTCAATTTTGAGGGCGCCTGGGTGGCTCAGTTGGTTAAGCGACTGCCTTCGGCTCAGGTCATGATCCTGGAGTCCCGGGATCGAGTCCCGCGTCGGGCTCCCTGCTCGGCGGGGAGCCTGCTTCTCCCTCTGACACTCCCCCCGTCTCATGTGCTCTCTCTCTCTCAAATAAATAAATAAAATCTTAAAAAAAAAAAAAAGAATTTCAATTTTGAGAGAGGCTTCACTTCCTTGGGCTCAGAGAAGTTAAATGGCATACCCGTGGCCAAGCATCAGCGTTGGACTGAAAACCTAGGTTTTCCTACTCACAGTCCCAGGTGCTTTCCATTTGGCTGCTTCACAGTTCAGCATGACCAGCCATGGCTGCCACTTTTGCCGTGAGCTGCATCCTTGACTTGTCTTCATCTCTGTCGGCGTGGAACTCCCCAAAAGCCAGAGGGCCCTGTCACCGCAAGCCCACACTTGCTGTGCCCTCAGCATGAGTTGCTTTTTGCTTTGGTGAGCACTTCATTACAAGCCTGTTGGAAAGAAAGAAAAAAAAAGAGGACAGAAGAAAGTATATGGGATTGGAAAAGAAATCAAGTTCACAATTTATACAGAAATAAATCCAATTCTCTGGGATTGTCTAACTTTGTTTGATTTTTATTAAAAATCTGGCTCCGGGGGCGCCTGGGTGGCTCAGTTGTTAAGCGTCTGCCTTCGGCTCAGGTCATGATCCCAGGGTTCTGGGATTGAGCCCCGTGTTGGGCTCCCTGCTCCAGGCTCCCTGCTCGGCGGGAAGCCCGCTTCTCCCTCTCCCACTCCCCCTTCTTGTGTTCCTGCTCTCGCTATCTCTCTTTTTTTCTGTCAAATAAATAAATAAAATCTTTAAAAAAAAAAAAAAACCACCTGGCTCTGATGCAGACTCCTTTGGTGACCTCAAGGAACTTGGCACCTCATTTTCCTTTGTTGTCAAGTCGGGTAATACTTCTTAAGCTTGGCCTAAAATTCATGGATGTGGAAGGACAGACATGGGAAGCATTTTGTGCTCCTCGAAGTGTTTGGGAGACATAAATGACTTTCAGGCTGCACACATCATCCCTTTTACTAACGACCTCAAACTTTCTAAACACTCTTATAATTTACAAATATGCCTAAATGTGATTTGAGTCAAGGTTTCCAGCTGCAAGTAAAGATTACTTTTCCATGCTGTTTGTGGTTTACTAAAAGCAATAATAGGGGACCCTGGGTGGCAGAGGCGGTTAAGCATCTCTCTTGATTGTGGCTCAGGTCATGATCTCAGGGTCGTGAGATCGAGCCCTACGGCGGGCTCTGCACTGGGGGGTGGAGTCTGCTTAAGATTCTCTCTCTCTCTCCCCCTCTGTCCCTCCTCCCCCTCTGTTTCCCCCTCTCAATAAGTAAGTAAATAAAAAGATAAATAAAAGCAATAATAATACCTTTGGTTATCTAATATAGATGTCAACTCTCCCATCAAATAAATCTTCTATTTCTTTTTTTTTTTTTTAAAGATTCTTATTTATTTATTTGACAGGGAGAGACACAGCGAGAGAGGGAACACAAGCAGGGGGAGTGGGAGAGGGAGAAGCAGGCTCCCCGCAGAGCAGGGAGCCCGATGCGGGACTCGATCCCAGTACCCTGGGATCATGACCTGAGCTGAAGGCAGTCGCTTAACCAACTGAGCCACCCAGGCGCCCAAATCTTCTATTTCTGTAGACTAGCTACACAACAGGTCCTCAATCGAGTATATGGTAAGCACTCTACAGGTGATTGATATTTTTTTAAAGATTTTATTTATTCATTTTAGAGATAGAGAGCAAGAGCGAGTGCTTGAGCACGGGGGCGGGGGAGGGGAGGAGCAGAGGAAGAGAGACAAGCAGACTCCACACTGAGCTCAGAGCCTGAGTTCCCACAACCCTGAGATCATGACCTGAGCTGAAACCAAGAGTTGCTGTTCAACCGACTGAGCCACCCCAGCGACCCAAGATGATAGCTATTTTTATTATTGAATGTATTTTTCTTAAAGCTAGGTTATCTCCTAAGAACTTTAAAAGTCAGGCAAATAACTTTAATCAGGAAATCCAATAAGCATCTATATACTGCCTATTAGTATGATTGGACCAGAATGAGAAGCCATGAAGATCAGCATAGATCTAAACAAAATAGCTTCAAGTGCTGATGTCATCGATCTCTGTTGCCTTTGTGCTTTCCTCTACCACATCCCCAATTTGTAAAACAGGAAGAGAGACAAAAAGTGAAAACTAGGATGAGCAAGTCCCACCAGAGTTCCCACTGGGTGTGCCTTTTGCCCAGAGAGAGAGAGAAGCAACTCATGCATGCAGGTAAGTTCAAGGAGTGTGTTGAACATGGTGTTTTGAATTGCATAGCAGAAGATCCCGGGCACTCCTCAGCCAGCTGACTATTGTGTTGATTGGTTCTTGGATTTCGAACTATAAAGCCCTTTCGTGGTATATAAAGTGGGCGACCAAGAGCCTGCAGGTGTGATTGCAGGCCAAGTGCAATGGCGACAGCAAGCCAAGTCACAGCGTTCTAGGACTCGCCTTATAGGACAGTATAGTATGGTGGTTAAGAGCTCCCTGCTTGGGTTCCAAAACCTGGTTCCAACAAGCGTGAGCCGTGGAACTTTGGGTAGTTACTTTACCTCTCCAAACCTCATATTTATGTGGTCACGAATGAGAGCCAAACCTCACTGGAGACGGCACTGCCAAGGCTCAGGAATGGCTGGAAAGTAGCTTTGGTGTCATGCTGACAAAGCTTGCTAGAAATCCATCCTCTAGAACTTTGGGAACCACCCCCCCTTTAGGGGCTGTGGACAAGCGGCTCAGTGGGGAGGTGCCTCCCCAGAGTTATTCGGCAACAGTTGCCAACCCACAAGAACCAAGAGCAAAACCCTTTTCTTCTGCCATGTCTCTCCAGCACCCTCTATTGACAAAGCCTTCCCTGGGAAGGGAAAAACATGTATTTTTTTTTAAAAGATTTTATTTATTTATTTGAGACAGAGAGAATGAGAGACAGAGAGCATGAGAGGGGGGAGGGTCAGAGGGAGAAGCAGACTCCCTGCCGAGCAGGGAGCCCGATGTGGGACTCGATCCCGGGACTCCAGGATCATGACCTGAGCCGAAGGCAGTCGCTTAACCGACTGAGCCACCCAGGCGCCCGGGAAAAACATGTAAAGGGCCCAGATTAATTTTTACAGAGGAGGCAAAAAGGAAGAATTTGGAGTGATAAAACCTATAACTAGCACGAGTGTGATTCGGCAATATCTTTAGGGGCTGATAATACTGATTCTTTCAGGCTGGTAGTGTCTAAGTAACATTCCGCGGGGCCTGTCCTGGGTCTGCAAGCTGCTGTTGGTCCTCTGTAGAGCAGTCGTTTTGAAAGTGGTCCCTGGGTCAGCACTGTCGGCATCACACGGGAACTTGTTGGAAATGCAAATTCTAGGGCCTTATCCCAGGCTTACTGAGTCAGAAACTCTGGGGTTGGGGACCAGCCGTCTATTTTAACAAGCTGTCCATGTGATTCTGGTGCATGCTAAGGTTTGAAAACCACTGGGATAACAATAAGTTCTGGGATCTTGTGCAGGCTTGGAGGGAAGAGTCAATACAGATTTCTTTATCCGAGCTTTAGTTTCAATTTTTTTTTTTTTTTAAGATTTTATTTATTTATTTGCCAGAGAGAGAGAGAGGGAGAGTACAAGCAGGGGGAGCAGCAGGCAGAGGGAGAAGCAGGATCCTGGCTAAGCAAGGAGCCCAATGTGGGACTCGATCCCAGGACTCTGAGATCATGACCTGAGCCGAAGGCAGACGCTTAACCATCTGAGCCACTCAGGCGCCCTTAGTTTCAATTTTTAATCTTGAAGAACGTGACCTAACTCTTTGGGATCTGGAAGCGCGCAGGGAGCATATTATTTTTCCACTTTCGCCTTGACGACGTGTTTCTGGACTCGTGGGCATGCACTTATCAGATATGCTCACTTTGGTAAGAAAGCTGATGTTCTCTTATTTACAGGTCACACTCCCTTGATTAGATCCCTGAACCTGCTATTACCATTTCTTTCTATTTCTGTGTGTTTGCAAAAAAATGAGCGCAACGCCTGTTCTACTTTTTCCATATCCTTGCTCTTCCCTAACTCTCCACCACGGATGGACTGTTGGAAGAGCAGCTAGGGCTTCAAGCCTAAGGTCAGCCCGGCCAGATAGCGGCATGGAGCACACATTAGCTTCCCACTGCTCGTGAGCAGGCTTGTCTCCTTGACTAGGCTCCAACAGCCCAGAGCAGAAACTTTCACGTTTCCCTGACTCAGCCCTTGTCTTCCCAGGCTCCTCAATTTGCAGTCTTCAAAGGAGAGAGGACAGATGACGTAGTCTGGCAGATGACTTTTCTGCCCTTTCTTGCTTTGAAATTAAAAAATGTGTGTGTGTGTGTGTGCGCCTATTTGAGCGGTGTGGGGATGGTGACCTGGCTCTCATCCCGCCACTAACTAGCTGCATGGGGTTGGGCAGGTCACCAGCTCCGGTTTTAATTTCCATACTGAAATACAGAGGGTTGGACCAGCTGATCCTGCTCCAACATTTTGTGATTCTGTGCACTACCCCGAGCATGGCCTTAAAAGGTTAACTTGGGTTTGAATCTCACCCTCTACTGTGACAGTCCGTATAAAGTTCCTTTGTGATTCCTTCCTCTGATATTAAGTATGATGAAGCCTTCTTACAACAAATTCACCTAAAAGGATTGAGGTTACTTATGCACAGAGTGGACATGTCAACAGGTTTGCTCCCTTCAATATATAAAGAGCATCTGCCTTTTGAAATAGATATAGGGTCTCATCAACTGTGTGGGCAAGAGGAACTGCAGTGTGAAAATGCACAGCCAGAAATGAGAAATGAGGTAGTCTTCATTTTGAATTCCTGATTTATTTCTGATAGTAGTAAGCAAAAAGATACTTATTTCCTCTCAAAGGGATATGACTATTTCTATTTTTAATGTCCTTTAAGCCTTTTCATCTCCCCTTCAAGGTAAAGAGTCTTTCTCTGACCTAGTTTCACATGCTGAAATGGGGAGAAAAGTCAAGTGGAATGATCCTCAATCAGCAGGGACATCCCTCGGGGGTGGGGGTGGGGGTTGGGGAGAAGAGGGTATTTCAGAAATTCTTGGAAATGATGTTTAAAAAATTATGTCTAGATTTTATTTTTTAAGACTTTTTATCTATTTGTCAGAGAGACAGAGAGCACAAGCAGGGTGAGCTGCAGGCAGAAGGAGAAGTAGACTCCCTTGGTCCCAGGACCCTGGGATCATGACCTGAGCCAAAGGCAGGCGCTCAATGGACTGAGCCACCCAGGCATCCCTAGACTTTTATTCTAAAAAAAAAAAAAAAAATTCCTACTGTTTTGAGAACAGTAATTTGGAATTCGAGCAATCCAAGCTTGATAAAATCATGGCCAGGAAGGGTAGGCAGAGAAAATGTTGCGGTAGGCACTTTGGGTTGCTCATTTGTTCCCTCCTCCTTCCTTACTAAAAGAGGATTGATTTTGTTCCCGTGGCAACATCCCCAGACAATGAATCATAATTGGTTCAAATCTGTCATGACAGTCTCTGTCTCGCCTCCCTTGCAGTGAGAAGTGGCCATGTGAGCCAGTCCTGGCTCCAGAGACATCTGGAGTCTGCTGGGGACACTGTTGGGAGATTTTGGAAGGCATGGGCTATCTGTGCCCCCCACCCTCATCTTCCTGCTTTGATAGCTGACACTATATTGGGAACTTTCTTTTTTTTTTTTTTTAAAGATTTTATTTATTTATTTGAGAGAGAGAGAGAATGAGACAGAGTATGGGGGGGAGGGTCAGAGGGAGAAGCAGACCCCCCGCTGAGCAGGGAGCCCGATGTGGGACTCGATCCCGGGACTCCGGGATCATGACCTGAGCCGTAGGCAATCGTCCAACCAACTGAGCCACCCAGGCACCCAAAAGTATTTTATTTTATTATTTTTATTTATTTTATTTTTTTAAAGATTTTATTTATTTATTTGAGAGAGAGAATGAGATAGAGAGAGCATGAGAGGGGGGAGGGTCAGAGGGAGAAGCCGACTCCCTGCCGAGCAGGGAGCCCGATGTGGGACTCGATCCCAGGACTCCAGGATCATGACCTGAGCCGAAGGCAGTCGCTTAACCAACCGAGCCACCCAGGCGCCCACATTGGGAACCCTCAAGGCCTTCCTGGACCTCCTGGTGATAGGGCCACAAGTCAAGGATGGACAACCCTGGCTTTTTTTCTGACATTTTTGAGTTGTGCAAAAGCAGAAGTGCTGGACAAAATACAGGACACCCAAGTAAATCTGAGTTTCAGAAAAACAACAGTCTCACATATGTAGTATTTGGGACTTATTTATACTAAAGTTATTTATAAATAACTATAGTTTATCTGAAATTCAAATTTAACTGTGTGTCCTCTAATTGTGTTGCTTTTCCCCCTGAATCTGACAACTCCACGTGCAAACTCTGGACTGCCTGCCTTGAACTTTCTTCTTACGTTAAAAAAAACAAAAACAACAAAAAACCCGATGAGTTTAAGCTACTACTCAAAAAATATATTGGTTGTATGTGAATTCATTCTTGATGTAATAGAAATTTGCTTTTGTACCCAATATTTTTTGGGGTGTTCATCATGTGTTAGACACTGTGCTGGTTCGCAGAGATGCGTGTGTAACTCAGTCACAGCGGCAAGACCTGCTTTCATGGAGCTTCTCTGTAGCTGGAGAGACCGGCGCTAAATGAGCGATTCTAAATGAGCGATGGTAGTGTAATTCCAATTGTGATTAGTGCTCTGGAGGACAAGTAGGGGAGCTTTGCGAGCATCTACAGAGGGAAGTTCTCCCTGAGGTAGGACGTCAGGGCACTCTGAAGGAGGGGCAGGGGGTGGCAGGCTGATTGGAGGGGAGGGGGGTGCAAGTTTGCTCTGAGCATCGGGAGCAGCATGTGTGCCCACCACGAGGCAGGAAGGATCCCGGTAAGTTTGAGGAGAGGAGGTCATGCCACTGAACAGCAATGGGTTGAGTGATGGGCAATGGGCAATGGGAATAGAGAGGCACATGGAAGCTAGTTCAGGGAGTGCCCTGGAAGCCATATTAAGGAGTTTGAACTTGATCCTTACTCTACGCTACACCACACTATCACCTACTGTTGATATGAAATAGAGACTTCCAATAGTTTGAAATAAAGACTTCCCACAATTTGATCAGAGTCATATAGCTGTTAGGCGGGAGAACCGCCATTTGGGCTCAGGGTTTGTGTTTTTGTTGTTGTTTGCTTGTTGTGTAAGTGTGTGTGATCCAAAACCCCTCCCTAATTACCACTGAGTACAAGCTAGTTAGAGATACAGAAATAATGAGAGCTGATCAAATGAGTCTGTAAAGACCAGTTAAAGTTAAGGTAATAATGTATTTATATTTGTAAAGATTGAGAGGATTGGGAGCAATCTGTTACAAAAACAAGAGGTTGATCAGTACAGCAGATAATTTAAATTCCAGCATTGAAAGAGGCCTCAAAAAATTACACAATTCAGAGGTCCTGTCTGTTCCTTTCAGTGAAAGGTACTACTTATCATTTAAGTAACCATAACTGATTTCTGTGACTTTAGACCATTGGTTTGACAGAAACAACAAAACACAAAAAATACTCCCTATTTTAACAAAGTATCAACACAAGTGACACAATGATCCAGTGGTTTTACATATATGTAAGAAACAGTAACAAAACACACACAAAGGGGGCGCCTGGGTGGCTCAGTTGGTTAAGCAACTGCCTTCGGCTCAGGTCATGATCCCGGAGTCCTGGGATCGAGTCCCACATCGGGCTCCTGGCTGAGCCGGGAGACTGCTTCTCCCTCTGACCCTCTCCCCTCTCATGCTGTTTCTCTGTCTCTGTCTCTCTCTCTCTCTCAAATAAATAAATAAAATTTTTAACAAAACAAACACACACACACAAAGGGGAGCCTGGGTGGCTCAGTCAGTTAAGCATCTGCCTTCGGCTCAGGTCATTATCCCAGGGTCCTGGGATTGAGCCCCGCATCAGGCTCCCTGCTCTGCGGGAAGCCTGCTTCTCCCTCTCCCACTCCCCCTGCTGTGTTCCTGCTCTCTCTCTCTCTGTCAAATAAGTAAATAAAATCTTAAAAAAAAAAAAAAAACCCACACACAAAAAAGACACTCTAGTAAATTGTTGATTTATTCAATGTGACCGCTAAAGCCTTTATTTGCAGGAAATGGGCACTGATATTAGATGGTAATGAATATTATAAAAATAGAAAAATATCAGCGTGCATTGAATCTAAGGTTAAGTGCTTTGTGATACTTGATAGGCGTATATATACACACATCACACACATATATATCCACATACACACACAGCCACATACAAGCACAATAGGTTACGTATATACTGGATTGTGATGTAAATCTTATTTCGTACTCTGGGTCTCACTTAGAGAAGTTTGACAATCACTGGTCCAGAGGAACTGACTCATTGTGAGCTATGCTAGCTCTCTGTACTCCTTGGAGCAGGAACAAATCATTAAGGTAAATTCCTGTCCGGTGGTGTGGATAACGATTTACTGTTCACATGTTAGGGAAACCATGTGTGATAACACAAACAAACGAACCAACAGCTGTTATCATACCAAAGTACTTATTGTATCTTGGCTAAGGTTCTTAAATATCCTCCTTTGAGTTTCCTAATTCATCCCAGGAAGGATTCAGTGCACTCCATCTTTATGTTGTTACTTGCAAACCTTGGAAACAAATATAAGTAGAAAGAAATTAATAGAGAATTCCAATTCTCATTGTGTTAAATCTTCACACTATCAACAGTAAATCTTTTTTTTTTTTTAATGTTTTATTTATTCATGAGAGTCAGAGAGAGAGATAGAGAGAGGCAGCGGCAGAGGGAGAAGCAGGCTCCCCGCCTAGCAGGGAGCCCGATGCGGGACTCCATCCCAGGATGCTGGGATTGTGACCTGAGCTGAAGGCAGACGCTTAACCATCTGAGCCACCCAGGTGCCCCTCAACAGTAAATCTTAATCTACTATTAAGATTACAGGGATTCTGGAGCCAGACATGCTGGTTTTCCATCAAGAACTAAATAGAGGCCAAGTCTCATTCTTTTAATCCTTAGACCTAATTTAAGCCTAAATTAAGATATCGGATATCTAATACCGTTTGCAATTGGTATAATAATCGTTGGCTTCAAGGAATGAAATAGTTTGAAAACTAGAAGAATATCACAAAGGGCGGCTGGTTGTAGCAGAACTATTGTTTTGGAGCATTTTCTTTGATTTTGGGGAAAGTGCATGGGTACCTTTACTCTTTTTTTCTTAAACCAAGGAAGCCTAGCTGAATACTTGGTGATTTGGTTTGAAACTCAGGGATAAACCCATTGCATTCATATTATAGAGTTCGTGTTGGAGAAACACATTTTTTTAGTGTAGTATTTAATTTCTGAAGTATATACATATAAATATGATTATACTCTTTGACCAAGCAAGCGCTACTTCTAGAAAATTTTAATATAATTCCAGAAGAAGAAAACAAGTGATATGTGTAGGTATTTTTATAGCATGTTATTTGCCAATGTGAAACACTTGTAAAGGTACTATATACTCAGCAACTGCGAATTGGGTCATTAATCTTATAATTTGGGCTATTATATTAGATAATTATACTATTACTTTTAATTGGACATTATATTTTAAATTCGATGTAGAAAATGCCAAAAGAGGGGCGCCTGGGTGGCTCAGTCATTAAGCATCTGCCTTTGGCTTGGGATCGAGCCCCGCATCGGGCTCCCTGCTCGGCGGGAAGCCTGCTTCTCCCTCTCCCACTCCCCCTGCTTGCGTTCCCTCTCTTGCTGTCTCTCTCTCTCTGTCAAATAAATAAAATCTTAAAAAAAAAAAAAAGAAAAATGCCAAAGAAAAATACATACCTTTTATTAAATTTCATTTTGCGATTTCTTATTCCTTTGATTTGAAACAAGACACGTGACATCTTTCTTCTGCACTGAGATATCAGTGCCAAGTCTTATAACTCACTTGTAAGGAGCAAAATAGAACTCAGCCTTGACTCCTTTAACTGGAAGAGCTATTTAGTTTTACTCAGTTTCATTATATAATAAATTCTATAAAGCTCCTTTAAATATTCAAAACTAAGGTAAAAATATTAAAAAAAAGAAATGAGCATTGCGATTAACGGTGTAACCATGTAAGAGGCTGATGTGAACAGCAAAAATGTTGGATGTGTACTCATGAAGATGTTAACATTGCTGACTGGTGGGAATTCAAGTGATTATTTTCTCTCTTTTTTATATTAAAACTTTTTTTTTATAATGAATATGCTTTTTTACTGAGATGAAAATAGACATTTTCTCCCCCTTTTCCTTTCCACACTTGGGAGCCAATCTCCTGTCAAGCCTTGCCCATTCCTATCTAGTGTATGTGAGAGAGTCAGGCTCCCTCGAAAGCGTAACCAGCATGCCACCGAGAAAACGACCACTGTGAAAATAAACGTTCTGCAAAGGAGTCTGAAAGTTCTGGGGGCTAGACGGCCTTGTCATTGTGAGGATAGGTAATGATTAAATTTTGCCTCAAACACTGAATTTAAATAAGGATTAAATTAAACATATAACTGGGGCGCCTGGGTGGTTCAGTCGTTAAGCGTCTGCCTTCGGCTCAGGTCATGATCCCAGGGTCCTGGGATCGAGCCCCGCATCGGGCTCCCTGCTCGGCGGGAAGCCTGCTTCTCCCTCTCCCACTCCCCTTGCTTGTTCCCTCTCTCGCTGTATCTCTCTCTGTCAAATAAATAAAATATATATTAAAAAAAACAAAAAAATTAAACATATAACTTTATGTTCTTACTCTCTTGGGTCATTTGTTTCATTAATCATTAAATTCAATCTCTGTGTCCCTCTCATTATTATTACTTTATCACAATTATGATTTTATGGGCTTGGAAGGGAAGGTTAGTTCAGCAGGATTATGAGAGGTTATGAGGAGCCTGCAGAGTAGTCCACTGAAACCTAGGAAAGGCCTCCTTGCTAGCTCAGCCCCTGACTGTGGGTTAAACCAGGCCATGCGAAGGAGCCCTCCAGGCAGCCCTGTCAGGGCACCGTGATTGCAAGAACTGGGAAAGGTGGTAGGTTACTATAAATAACACCCTAACTTATTTATGCAACTGGGGGAAAAAACCAAACAAACTGATACAGATCTTAAGAGGTAAGAAAAGCTGATCTGCTTTGGATTTTATGTCTCTTCTACCATTTGTTATTATTATTTTTTCTACTAAACTTTATCTGGTATCTAGAGCACAAGCAAGATAGCCTTAAAAGGCATAGGTGAATACTCCTTTCCAGCCCCTAGGACGTAAGCAAGGAAAGAGCATTGCCACACACGTGGACATGTACTCTCTCGTGGGCTTTCCGTGTCCTTCAAAACATACCTGCTGTTCTCGGGCCTCAGAACAGACGGCAAAGGCTGATATTTGATATGGAACGAGCTTGCAGTTTGAGCTACTTGGTGAAGGCTCCTTTCATCTTTATCAGGAGATGGATCACAAGGCCAAACTCCAGAGTATGACTTAGTCACTAAAAAAATGGACTTAAGCACCAGCCATTACCAAGGGGATGGAAAGGTATAGGTTGTCCAGCAGCTAAAACACCCTGAAGTATCTCATCAGGGCCAGAAAGGGGGCCAATCACTCTCAACCAAGTGGCTTTGGCTCAGGTGCTGAACTCCTCCCTTCACTCTACACTCTTTATAGCCCTTCATGTCGGTGCCCTGAGCTTCCCTGCCTTTCATCAAAGTAACAGATGGGGTGGAGGGGCAGGCATATATGCCAAGGACTCTAAGTTCCTCTTATAAGAAACTTTAAAATGGTCCTGAGATTTCTTCAAATCGAATCATGCCTACATGAAGGGCTGATGCTGAAATCAGGAGTGTGTAGGCTCAATGGGCTGGCTGGGCTCAGATCCCTCATAAGATAGGAATTTACTGAGAACAGAGGAAATCTAATTCTTATTTTTTATTTTTTTTTTTAAAGATTTTATTTATTTATTTGAGACAGAGAGAATGAGAGACAGAGAGCATGAGAGGGAGGAGGGTCAGAGGGAGAAGCAGACTCCCTGCCAAGCAGGGAGCCCGATGCGGGACTCGATCCCGGGACTCCAGGATCATGACCTGAGCCGAAGGCAGTCGCTTAACCAACTGAGCCACCCAGGTGCCCGAAATCTAACTCTTATTAAGAGATGATGACATCTGGCCTAGGGTAGCTGCTTCTCAAAAGCAGGTAATATTCTCCACTGCAGGAGTGACTCACACTGTTAATTGTGAAAATCCTTTTAGTTCCAATAGTTCAAATACAACAGCACCTGGATCTATAGTTTTGTTCTCCCAGCAAGCTTTTTCATCCTCCTCTGGTTTCTACCTCCTGCTTTGCTCTCCTTTTGGGGGGATATTTCTCCCGCTTAACAGGAGGCCTTAGGAGAGGCATTCAAGGACAAGATGAGTCCATGATCCAGTCCTAGCCAATCAGAGTGTGCCATCTCCAGAGTGAAAGCGATTAGTTTAGCCCAAGCCATGTGACCCAAGCAGGATCAATCCAAATCTTCCCTGGGACTTTTCAGCTGGGCCAAAATGCGAAACTGCTTTTTACAAAGCTTTTTTAAAAAAAGGCATTTTAAACATACACTAAAGTGGTGAGAATCATATATGAGCTCCTTGGAACTCAACACCCAGCTTCGACATTTATCAACCAAAGGGAAATCTAGAGAAGGATAAACTGTCTTTTTCTACTGGGGATGTTGCACCCTGGAAAATGGTGCTGTCAACAGCCATCCTATCCGTTGGTGGAGTGAGTCTGACTCCAAAAGAAACCCAAACAGCAACGTGGAATTATAGCAGAGCCTTGAAGGCTACATTTGAGCTCCTTAATCCAGCTGAGCCTGAAGCCGAAGCTACCCCTGTACTTTCTTCCTGCTTAACCAGATCAAGGAGAGTTTCTGGTTCTTGCAAAATGTGGCATCTAAGATGAAAACCTTAAAGAAATACTCATTAAATATTTTCTAACACCTTGTGTTTATTTTTGAGGTATTTGGGGAAAAAAATTCATGGGAAATCTTTAAGAGGACTAAAGGGAAAGGAGCACTTTAGACATATTAAAATGAGATTACCAGGGGGCGCCTGGGTGGCTCAGTCGGTTAAGCATTTGCCTTTCGCTCAGGTCATGATCCTGGGGTCTTGGGATCAAGTCCCGCATTGGGCTCCTTACTCAGCGGGGAGCCTGCCTCTCCCTCTGCCTGCCACTCCCCCTGCTTGTGCTCTCTCTCTCTCTGAGATAAATAAAATCTTTAAAAAAAAACAAACAAAAAAACCAAACGAGATCATCAGCCCTTTAACTTCACTCTGCCCAAAGGATAATGTCAGTACCACTGTAATAACAGCCATCTACTAAAAAATTAAACTATGTAACATAGACATCATGAAGGGCTGTAACAATGGGTGGATATTTTCACCCTTAAATAAAAAAAAAAAAACAACCTCATACACAAAATAATCAAGGCCTCAAACCCATTCGGAGTCTCTGATTCTGAATTATCTTCAAAGCAAGGAATGAATGGATACAATCACTCCTGAGCATTCAGGTAAGCCATTCTTGGGTATGTAATGAACTCTTTTCCTGGCTGTTCCTTCACCATCCATAATACTTACACTTTTGCTTTGCTAGTTCTTGTATTAGATCTTCATACACTTGCGAAAAGAGATCCTCTTCTGATTTTGTTCCATCTAGGTAAACTGAAAAGAGAAAGGAGAGCAGTTCAAATGCCAATGGGCCTATTAGTAGAGGATTCTTACTCTGGCATCTGACATCTCTTAAGAATACTAGTAAGTTTAGGGGCGCCTGGGTGTGTCAGTCAGTTAAGCATCTGATTCTGGATTTCGGCTCAGGTCATGATCTCAGGGTGGTGAAATCAAGCCCTGCGCTGGATTCTGCCCTGGGTGTGGAGCCTGCTTAAGAGTCTCTCTCTCTTGGGCGCCTGGGTGGCTCAGTTGGTTAAGCGACTGCCTTCGGCTCAGGTCATGATCCTGGAGTCCCGGGATCGAGTCCCACATCGGGCTCCCTGCTCGGCAGGGAGTCTGCTTCTCCCTCTGACCCTCCTCCCTCTCATGCTCTCTGTCTCTCATTCTCTCTCTCTCAAATAAATAAATAAAATCTTTAAAAAAAAAGAGTCTCTCTCTCTCTCTCTCATTCTGCCCCTCCCCGCTAAAAAAAAAAAAGAATACTAATAGATTTAAATAAAGAACACAGGACCTTAAACACTTAAAAAGAAATTAATAGCCATTAAAGACAGAAAAATTACAGTCAAGAAAAAAGATAAAAATTGGTTTAATAGGGAGAAATGCATATTAACAGATGTGAAAATTATTATTATTTTTAAAGATTTTATTTATTTATTTGAGAGAGAATGAGAGAGAGCACATGAGAGGGGGGAGGGTCAGAGGGAGAAGCAGACTCCCTGCTGAGCAGGGAGCCCGATGTGGGACTCGATCCCGGGACTCCAGGATCATGACCTGAGCCGAAGGCAGTCGCTTAACCAACTGAGCCACCCAGGCGCCCGGGAAATTATTTTCTGAAAAAGAAAGCGTTAAATGGCACTGTGTATGTGGCCCTTTAGCAGCACTGAGGTGGTGCCTCCCCAGAAGAATCATTTAAGGGGGTGGTTCTCCAACTTACTTATGCATCAGGATCACTCGTGAAGCTTGCTTTTTTTTTTTTTTTTTGGTGCAAAAAGGTGATTTTTATTAAAGCATGGGGACGGGACCCGTGGGCAGAAAGAACCATGCAGGGGTTTGGTCTCTGCTACGTGTACTGACTCAGCATTCTCCAGGCCTGGGAGATATGTATTCTTACCCAAAATGGCATACGTAATTTTAGAGAAAAGGTGGAAGTTCAATAGGTTAAAGGAAGAAAAGAACGCTTTAATCAGAAAACTGGAGGTAAGAGATAAATTTGCTTGTTAAGAAAAGGATGCACAGTTTGGAAGGGCTAGAATGCGGGAGGTAGGAACACTGGAGAGGTGAGATTTTAGAGCAAGGCTGTCTATGCCTTAGTCTTTAGGGGCCTGTTTGGATTTTATCCCAAAAAGCTGGAGACTCTTTTTTTTTAAAAGATTTTATTTATTTATTTGTCAGAGAGAGAGCACAAGCAGGGGGAGTGGCAGGCAGAGGAAGAGGGAGAAGCAGGCTCCCCGCGGAGCAAGGAGCCCAACACGTGATCCCATGACCCTGGGATCATGACTTGAGCCGAAGGTAGCCGCTTAGCTGACTGAGCTACCCAGACATCCCACCAAAAGCTGGAGACTCTTTGCAGGCATTTAAGCAAAGTGGGGGCATGGTTAGATGGGCATTTTTTTTTTAAGTTTCATTTTTAGGCAATCTCTCCACCCAATGTGGGTCTTGAATTCACAACCCTGAGATCAAGAGTTGCATGCTCCACTGAATGAGCTGGCCAGGCACCCCTAGATTGGCAATTTAGATGGAGAGGGAGAGAGGGGCACCCTCCATATTTCTTATGTCATTCTGTTCTATTAAGCACATAATACATCCATGCTCACATAGCCAGGGGAATCTCACTAAAACAAGAATTTGGTATTTATCATGTCCTTGTTTGAAACCTCTCTGTAGAGGGCTTCCCAATTCTCCTAGGATAATGACCCAAGTCCTTAATTGGCCTATGGCCTTGTAGAGTTTAGATTTTCCTTATGTCTCCAGCATCCCCTCTCTCTCTTGGTTTTCTCTACCAAAAATACACCAACCTTTTTTCAGGTGCTATTCATTCCTTCCTGTCCCTGGCCTTTTCGTGTACTGTCTGGAGTGATCTTCTGTCCCCCTGAACTACCTCCCTTTGTCCAGTTAAACCCCTCAAGTGTGGTTTAAGTAGCTTCCTCAAGGAAGCCTTCCCTGATTGCTGGGCCTCGGGTAGTCCCCCTGGAACTTGCACTTAGCATAGCTAGAAAGGACATGCTCATGCAGCTAGTGTTTTTAAGGCCGGTTTCCCTGATAGAATGCCGGCTCCTAGGAGTAGGGGCTGGGTTTGTCTTATTTTCCTCAGTATCAACAGGGCAGTGCCTTGTCAGGAAGGCATTCGATTAATACCCATTTCATGAATGACCATCTAGAAGTTGACAGGCTTTGACAAGAGCCTTACAGAGAGAAACAGAAACCAGGACAGTCAATTGTGGAAGGGCCCAGAGTGTTCTGGCTTAAAGGCTTCCTTTATAATGTAATCCATGAGAAAAATACCTCCTTTTAAAAAATCCTTTCTCTTGTGGACTTGGAGCAATGACAAATAAAGGCCTTCTGTGGGGGGAGAAAAGGTACTTACCAATTTCCCACGTGATGTTCTCCATTTCTTGTTTGTGCTTTAGATACATGGGCCACACGTGGCCATCAAAGTACCCTGGGACGTCTGGAGGCTTGTAGACCCTTGTACTACCAAAACACATAGGAAACTTTATGTGCACAGAAACACACAATTAATAAAAGTAAAATAATAATGGTCAGGATAATGGGAAAAATCACTGAGACTGAATCTAAACAGAATTAAGAGTATACATTTTAGATTCAACACTAGTTACAAAGAGAACAAAACAGATTTAGTTTTCTGATGCAAATTACTTTTGTAATTCACTATCATTCAAAATTATCTCCCCCTCCTTCAGGGCTTTATAAGAGAATTAAGAGACAAAAAGCAATGTAAATAATGACAGAGGACCTGATATGTTGGCTTAAGCTTTCAATTAACTGGTGTTCTTTGTGTCTGTAACAAAGTAAAAGCTCATGAATTTAGAATCATAATCCACATATAGTTTACTTAAAAAAATTTTATTTTTAATTGAAGTATGGTTGACACATAAGGTTATATTAATTTTTTTTTTTTTTTTTAAGATTTTTTTATTTGACAGAGAGAGACACAGCGAGAGAGGGAACACAAGCGGGGGGAGTGGGAGAGGGAGAAGCAGGCCTCCCGCGGAACAGGGATCCCGATGCGGGACTCGATCCCAGGACCCTGGGATCATGACCTGAGCCGAAGGCAGACACTTAACAACTGAGCCACCCAGGCGCCCCGAGGTTACACTGGTTTCAGTCAAACAACATAGGGATTCAACTTCTCCTTATGTTAGGCTCTGAGCACCCTGAGTGTAGCTACCACCTGTCACCATACTGTGTTGTTACAAACACTATGGACCCTACTCCTTATGCTGTGCTTTCTATCCCTGTGTTAATTTTGTCTTTTGAATTAGAATCCACAAAGGTGATTTCAAAACTCACCTCCTCCTTCTCTTACATTCTTCATAAGGAATCGTCAGAAAGTAGCTTCGGTTCCACAGAGTGTCGAGGGGCCTAAAATAACAGCATCTTGAGTTCACGAGGTTTCCCCCCATTCATTCAGAGTCAATAAGAGGTTGAGGATGCTTACTTATAATTAAAGAGAAGGAAGCCTTCGATGATTAATATGGGAATTTCCTCGGTGCTTCCAGAGTCTGTTGATACCAGTGAGTGTCTTGAGCTTTCCATCCAGCAGGAAATGGTGGACATCATTTTTTCCATGTTAAGTGCTTCAAGCACTTCAAACAAACATACGAAAATATGAAATAGATACAACAAAGGGTTTATGATGTGGCTTTTTATGAGGAGTATATCCAGGGTTCTATAAATACATAGAATAATGGTATTTTATTTACCCTTCAAAATACGTAATAATAAATATTTTAGACAAACTTAAACTCTATTATTGACAAATTGGCATGTTTGAAACATTTCTAATATGGGAAATTTCAAATATATATAAAAGTAGAGAGTATAATGAATTCCCATGTCCCCATTACCAGCTTTGGCAATCATAAACTCATAGCTAATATTGCTTTATTTATAGTGTCTATCCCTCCTGACTATACAAAAGTTTAACATTTTTGGGTGACAAAATATCTGTACCTCTGAAACAAATAATACATTATATGTTAAAAAAAAAAAAGAAGATAGTAGGAAGGGAAAAATGAAGGGGGGGAAGTGAACGGGGAGACGAACCATGGGAGACTATGGACTCTGAGAAACAAACTGAGGGTTCTAGAGGGGAGGGGATGGGAAGATGGGTTAGCCTGGTGATGGGTATTAAAGAGGGCACGTTCTGCATGGAGCACTGGGTGTTATATGCAAACAATGAATCATGGAACACTACATCAAAAACTAATAATGTAATGTATGGTAATTAACAAAACATAATAAAAAAAAGAGATGTGATTACATAAATGTAATGGGATATCCTACATGGGATTATGGAACAGAAAAAAAAAATGTTAAAACTAAGGAAATCTGGGGGGAGGAGCAAGATGGTGGAGGAGTAGGAGACCTAAATTTCGTCTGGTCCCAGGAACTCAGCTAGATAGGGATCAAACCATTCTGAATACCTACGAACTTAACAGGAAATCGAAGACAAGAATAGCAGCAACCCTCTGAACAGAAAAGCGACCACTTTCTTGAAGAGTCATATTCTATCCCTTCATAGTAGTTAACCTTATTTTTGGTATATATATATAAGTTGTTCTCTCTTTAAAATTTTGGGATACAGTTTCTCCTAACGGACCAAAATATACCCTAAATCTCTAGTGTCTTCTTATCTTACCAATTCCTTTTATGAAATCTTTTATAATTTTCATCTTTATAGTCATATTCCATCCCTTCATTGTATTTACCCTTACTTTTGTACATATATAAGTTTTTCTTTCTTTAAAATTTTGGGAGGCACTTTCTTCTAACAGACCAACATATGCCCAAAATCTAGTGTGTGGCACTGATTTATGCACCAGCCTGGTCATATTTGATCATATTCTGTTTTATTTTGTTTGTTTTTATCTTTTCCTTTTCTTTTTTTTTTCTTCCTTTCCCTTTCTTTCCCCCCGGTTTCAGGTCTCTTCTGATTTGTTCAGTGTATATTTTTCTGGGGTTGTTGTTACCCTGTTAGCATTTTGTTCTCTCATTCATTTATTCTCCTCTGGACAAAATGACAAGATGGAAAAAATCACCTCAAAAAAAAAAAGAACAAGAGGCAGTACTAACTGCCAGGGACCTAATCAGTACGGACATTAGTAAAATGTTGGAACTAGAGTTCAGAAGGACGATTTTAAAAAACCAGCTGGGGGCGCCTGAGTGGCTCAGTTGTTAAGTGTCTGCCTTCAGCTTGGGTCATGGTCCCAAGGTCCTGGGATCGAGCCCCACATCGGGCTCCCTGCTCCACGGGAAGCCTGCTTCTCCCTCCCCTGCTCCTCCTGCTTGTGTTCCCACTCTCATTGTGTCTCTCTCTGTCAAATAAATAAATAAAATCTTAAAAAAAAAAAGATACTAGCTGGGCTTGAAAAAAGCATGGAAGATATTAGAGAAAACCTTTCTGGAGAAATAAAAGAACTAAAATCTAACCAAGTCGAAATCAAAAAGGCTATTAATGAGGTACAATAAAAAACGGAGGCTCTAACTGCTAGGATAAATGAGGCAGAAGAGAGAATTAGTGATATAGAAGACCAAATGATGGAAAATAAAGAAGCTGAGAAAAAGAGAGATAAACAACTACTGGATCATGAGGGCAGAATTCTAGAGATAAGTGATACCATAAGATGAAACAATATTAGAATAATTGGGATCCCAGAAGAAGAAGAAAGAGAGAGAGGGTTAAAAGGTATATTGGAGCAAATTATAGCAGAGAACTTCCCTAATTTGGGGAAGGAAACAGGCATCAAAATCCAGGAGGCACAGAGAACCCCCTTAAAATCAATAAAAATAGGTCAACACCCCGACATCTAATAGTAAAACTTACAAGTCTCAGAGACAAAGAGAAAATCCTGAAAGCAGCTCAGGAGAAGAGATCTGTAACCTACAATGGTAGAAACATTAGATTGGCAACAGACCTATCCACAGAGACCTGGCAGGCCAGAAAGAACTGGCATGATATATTCAGAGCCCTAAATGAGAAAAATATGCAGCCAAGAATACTCTATCCAGCTGGGCTGTCACTGAAAATAGAAGGAGAGATAAAAAGCTTCCAGGACAAACAAAAACTAAGGGAATTTGCAAACACGAAACCAGCCCTACAAGAAATCTTGAAAGGGGGCCTCTAAGCAAAGAGAGCCTAAAAGTAACATAGACCAGAAAGGAACACAGACAATATACAGTAACAGTCACCTTACAGGCAATACAATGGCACTAAATTCCTATCTTTCAACAGTTACCCTGAATGTAAATGGGCTAAATGCCCCAATCAAAAGACACAGGGTATCAGATTGGATAAAAAAAACAAGACCCATCGATATGCTGTCTGCAAGAGACTCATTTTAGACCCAAAGACACCTCCAGATTGAAAGTGAGGGGGTGGAAAACCATTTACCATGCTAATGGACACTAAAAGAAAGCTGGGGTGGCAATCTTATATCAGACAAATTAGATTTTAAACCAAAGACTATAATAAGAGATGAGGAAGGGCACTATATCATACTTAAAGGGTCTATCCAACAAGAAGATCTAACAATTGTAAATATCTATGCCCCTAACATGGGAGCAGCCAATTATATAAGCCAATTAATAACAAAAGCAAAGAAACACATTGACAACAATACAACAATAGTTGGGGACTTTAACACCCCCCTCACTGAAAGGGACAGATCATCCAAGCAAAAGATCAACAAGGAAATAAAAACTTTAAATGACACACTGGACGAAAAGGACTTCACAGACATATTCAGAACATTCCATCCCAAAGCAACAGAATACACATTCTTCTCTAGTGCCCATGGAACATTCTCCAGAATAGATCACATCCTAGGTCACAAATCAGGTCTCAACCGGTACCAAAAGACTGGGATCATTCCCTGCATATTTTCAGAGCACAATGTGCTGGAGTCCAGCTCCAGCCGGGGTGGGTCTCTCGTAGGAAAGGACGGCGTCGGCGAATGAGGAGACACAGACACAAGGTCAGGTTGCAAGCATCTCCTCCTGACAGCCTTGGAGGAACTTTATTTATATGTTAGGATTTTTTTTTGTTTTTCCATACTTTCGTAACATGTGATTATGTTTTTTCACAATTGATTGAGATAATCTTAGATCATTTTTTTGATTACAGACATAGCCTTCTTTTATTTTTCTTTTGTAATGATTAACATGACCTTTATTGATTTCTGCTTATTGACTTTCGCTAAAACTAAAAAACAATACGCAAAGAGAAAGGTGCTAGACAGAGCGTGACCGTCTTGTTATTTTGTTCTATAGCGCAGGAAATATAGTGAACTGTGGAACAGCCTGAGCTGTTCCTTTCTTAGAATCTTGCCACTTCTGAGGCGCCTGGGGGGCCTCGTGGAATTAGTTTCATTATGATTGCTTAGATAGGCGTAACTAAGATGAGTAGTTACTTTATCATGAAACCCCAGAAATATTCCCACAATTATAAAGATTGCCATAAACAAAATGAAAGAGAATAGCAAGAGCCAGCTGTGGAGTCTCCTGTTTTCAGGATCGTCCCCCATACTTGGACTTTGTCAAACAGCATGAGTAGCTTGGCTCGCGCCAACAATGCTTTGAAAATAGAACTCAATCACAAGAGGAAAGTCAGAAAGAACTCAAATACATGGAGGCTAAAGAGCATCCTACTAAAGAATGAATGGGTTAACCAGGAAATTAAAGAAGAATTTAAAAAATTCATGGAAACCAATGAAAATGAAAACACAACTGTTCAAAATCCTTGGGATGCAGCAAAGGCGGTCCTAAGAGGAAAGTATATAGCAATACAAACCTTTCTCAAGAAACAAGAAAGGTCTCAAATACACAACCTAACCCTACACCTAAAGAAGCTGGAAAAAGAACAGCAAATAAAGCCTAAACCCAACTAAAGATCAGAGCAGAAATCAATGAAATAGAAACCAAAAGAACAGTAGAACAGTAGATCAACGAAACTAGGAGCTGGTTCTTTGAAAGAATTAACAAGATTGATAAACCCCTGGCCAGACTTATCAAAAAGAAAAGAGAAAGGACCCAAATAAGTAAAATCATGAATGAAAGAGGAGAGATCGCAACCAACACCAAAGAAATACAAACAATTGTAAGAACATATTATGAGCAACTCTATGCCAGCAAATTAGATAATCTGGAAGAAATGGATGCATTCCTAGAGATGTATCAACTACCAAAACTGAACCAGGAAGAAATAGAAAACCTGAACAGACCTATAACCACTAAGGAAATTGAAGCAGTCATCAAAAATCTCCCAACAAACAAAAGCCCAGGGCCAGATGGCTTTCCAGGGGAATTCTACCAAACATTTCAAGAAGAATGAATACCTATCCTTCTGAAACTGTTCCAAAAAATAGAAATGGAAGGAAAACTTCCAAACTCGTTTTATGAGGCCACCATTACCTTGATCCCAAAACCAGACAAAAATGAACTATTGGGACTTTGTCAAGATAAAAATTCTCCCATCAAAAAGGAGAATTACAGACCCATATCCTTGATGAACAAGGATGTAAAAATTCTCACCAAAATACTAGGCAATAGGATCCAACAGTACATTAAAAGGATTATTCACCATGAC